CACACCACACTGTCCCCACCCCATTCACCGTCCTGATCTCAACTATCGTGCAGACTTCTGCTGTGCTGGAGCTCTTCTGGAAATCGGGCCTTCTATGAAGAGTATAGGACTTTCCTGGACAGTCCCTGGCATTGTACATCACGCAAGAGGATGCAAGTGGCATAATTTCTAGCTAGGACTGAATATGATACTAATACCATTCTCCGAGAATGATCAACAACTCTAATTCAGAAAAAAGCCTCAGATATTTCCCTTCCATCCAAAACTGGGAAAAACAACTGAAGTTGGTCTTTCCCAAGAGATTTCTTAATTCACTAGTTGTTAAAAACCTATCTTAAGACAGCAAGCAACCCAAACAGATGGCAAAAGAACTCGTAATCTTCATTTCCCCTGCATTGTTTCAGACAGAACATCATGATACGCACAAGTAGGCAAGGAAGGTGTGAGGGGGGCAGCTGCTGTTGACTCTCACACTCCAACTGAACAAAACTCTTGCATGGTTACACCACCACCAAAGGTGAGGCAAAACTGTTTTTTTCCCAATTGAATAACCAACATGACAGAATTAGAGCCAACAGAAAAGTTTTGTAGTCGGATCCGGCTACAAGGCTCATACACAACACATCATCTTGTGCAAAACTATCCATTCCCCTTACAGGAACATAATACACGTCTTGATGGAGGTAAGTGGGAAAGACGTTTATCCAGTTGGTCATGCCTGTCAGTCTGTCTGCTTCCACAAGCCAAAGCCAAGAAGCTCTGAGGAAAAAAAGCTATTTGGAAACCATGGCAACATACCATTTTGGCTGGTAAAAAGAAAGCAAAGAACAGCCATCGCTGCTGCCAATAGAAAAATATGTATTTGTTTTTCACAAAAATTTACTCATCAAGTTCTTCCAAAAATAGTCACGCCAGACATCCAGACACCAACATACATTCAAAATTATCTTTTCAACTAAACTGCCCTTCCTGTGCAGGAATAGAGAGAACAAGGAATCAGCAAATGTAGTAACACGGTATCCATTTTAAACCAGGGCAGAGTACTGATGGCTGCAGTGACACTGCAAGGGGAGCTCTCCATTGCCATGGACACTCTACAAACTTTATGCATGAACGGCTGGATGGCTGCACAAGAGAATCCATGCAACCACTGCTAGCCAAGAAGAGAAGAGCACTCAGATACAACAATAAGCAGAAGTAAAGAGCTATTGATAGGAGATGTAAAGGTAAAATACACACAGTGACCTTCTGCATCACACCCAGCCTGAAATCAACACAGGAGATGCTGCACTCCCACGGGGTCCCAAGTTCCAGCTGACTGCAGCTCCTGAGGATCACAGGCAGCCGACAGGACGGCTGCGGAGGACTGCTGCAA